AAAAATTCCAGATTACAAATTATATCCGTAGCAAGAGTGATACAAATTGTTTCCTCCAGAGCACAATGTCAACTGTTCGTTGCAATGATAATTTACAAATTCAAAATCGGTCTGAAGTCGGTCGATAACGGACGATTACGCCACTGTTTATGTTCGTTCGCGCAGTTTTCGATGAGTCATATCATTCTTAACTTGGACGGAAATGAAATTTGTTACAACGTTGCACTTAGTCTTTCATATTTGTTGTTAGTAAGACATTTTGAAACACATACGGAACGATAATAATTTTTTAAAATATAATAACACAAAAATGAAAAGGGAACTCGAGTACATTTATCGAGAGCCACAAATGATCCTTCAAAGAGCCGCATGTGGCTCGCGAGCCGCAGGTTGGCCACCCCTGCTATATATCTTTGACATTACTCTATATTCAAAAATTTCTTGTGGGCCGATACACGTTTTAGGTATACGCTCTTCTACTTTCGACTTTTCTTCTGATATATATTGTTAGAAGGTTCTAATTAATATACATCTTGCTTAAAAATTACATATATTTACATTTAAAAAGTTGTAAAGTTAACCTTTCTCAGCATAACACTGAACGGCACTTAGATCACAGCAGTGATGTCCGTATTTACAAGGTTCTCCTTCGTTGTGACAGAAAAAACAAATTAAAAAAGACACAGTTTCAGAATAAACAAAGACAAACAATTATATAACTTCAATGAATGTAGTACCCTAAGATTTTATTCGCCCATTAGAGGTTAAATTTAGTTTTAGTTACAGTTTCTGTGTATATTAAAAAACATAACAGTCATCAAAATTATAAAAAGATTACATATGGGTATGGACCAAGTTTAGAATAAGAAATTATATAAGTATAAAAAAGCACAACCTTATGCCGCTAGCGAGACGGGTGACATTATCATAATAAATCATATACTAAATACAGTATACTTAAAGTTATTTAATTAACATAGTCTTATGTTATCAACATATATGATGTTAAAATAATTTGCAATGTTTATTACACAACAAAAATTTTTGAATCCTTTCCTGTCTTCATTTCGGTAATGTTTTCATTGGTAGTTACCGTTTCTTGCGATGTTCTATTTCTTAGCACGTTGGACAGAAGACTGCTCAATGGAAATTCGAAGAATACAAAGAAGAACAGAGCAGCAATCAGTGACAAGAACATAACAAAAGAATGTCCCATCCACTGTAAAAAATAATGTAATCAGTTATGAATAATTTCTGAAAAGTGAAATTGCAAGACCATAAAAAAGCATTGTAATTGGGCAACAAAAATTGCAATGTTTTGCTGCATAATTAAAGCTGTTTGGCATAGGTGCAAAAATTTTGGTATATTCTAAATTATATTGCTGAACTAGAGTCCCTCAATATAAGCATCAGTCACATCTGCTAAGTATCTGGGCTTAGTATCCTGGTCATCATTCAGAGCTATAGCTCTGAAAGTGAACTTGGAAATGTAAGATTGTGGCGACATTCGCGTAAGTTAAGATGGATGGCATTGACCCCAGATCTGGATGGTCCTAGGCATCTTATAAATGTTGCTGTCGTGAACGATCTCATGGGTGACCTGGCAAAAAGTTCGTTGTATGTTAGCCTTGCTCTAGCACAGCAGCTCCCAGAGTCAATCGTTTTCTTCTCCCAGTACATCTTCGAGTATAGATTATAACTTAAACTTAACTAAATCTAAAAGTAAAGTGAGAGGTGTTGGAGGAGGTAAAGGTAATGTTGGATAACCTTCTTAGAATGGACTTAAGAGGATATCGTACAACTATTTAGTACTCAGAGTGTTATATCTGGTAATATGTTAAATGAGATAGACAAGATGCATCAAATGACGCTACATATAAGTATATTGTGCTATGAACAAGTTAGCAGAGTAACCTTAGGGCTTATGGAAGTTCAATGGGACCCCATTTTTTGTTAGATTAAAAATCTTTACATTGAATACAATAAAACAATTAATTCTATAAATTGTTATATTATTAATATTAACTATTTTTTATTATACGATATGTTCTCATTGTTAATGAAAGAGTATTAAAAATTTATTATAGCAATTCAATTTTTGTTAGCCCTTTACACTTGAGGGCTCAGAGCTTAAGTCCTGTTAGTTCCTACGTAAAACTGCCCCTGACTATATTTCCAAGGAAAAAAAATACACGGCCTTGTAATTAATAATAAAGCGCTTTAAACACATGTTAGAAATGTGGGTAACATTAGAAAACAGCTGGAAAGTGAGTATACAAAAAGAACTAGCTTATCTGAAGTGGCTAGAGACAATCTTCCCATATGCGGTGAAGTACAACATGTAATAATTTGTGGACAACTTGGCAACACTTACTGTGCTCTTAGCTTTTAGTCTTTGTTTCCCAGACAGTCTTTCTGACCACGTGCACGGTACTGCCGGCACTCTGTATTCGAGCGCTTAATAAATTTGTTTTATTAGTTGAAATCTGTAATTATTTAATCAAGACTCCAAAGTGGTGAGCCGGACGTGACCACAAGAACTTATTTACCCAATTCTGTGACAAAGTGGGCAGTTTCTACCAAACCGTTGCTTGGGAAAGAGGTATGACATTGTTCTACCTCCAGCTACTACAAAGGATTTGGTGAGAGACTGTCGGCTCTCTGTTGACATTGGTTTCTCGAGTCTCGTTTCGACCTCCACCAAAGCGTATCTGTGCTTGTCGACATATACCAGCGACTGTTTTGAATGTATAATAATATAACCAAACATTCGGTCTTTTACCGAGATATTTTGTATGTGTCGACATTCACCAGAGAATACCGACATCTCTAATTTCGGTCTTTCACAGTAACATATATAATACACCTTGTATGTGAATACCGCTAATCTATAGGTTGACCTTTATGATAATAGTACATAATGTCTAGTAGAAGGTGGTATTGAACTTAAGTCAGTGGGACTTGCTGGTACGCTCAAGTAGATACAGCAACAAGTGGTGGTGAGACCACCAAAGTGAGATTGCTGAAGTAGAGAAAAAAATCTGTTGCGGGTGAGAACTGTTGATATTCTGAATAAAACTAAGTACAGTCTTCTCACAGATTCTGTCACAATTGCAGCTAATTACGAAAAAAAAAAAAAATTCAAATTCGATAACAATAAGTAAAGTTACAGAAATTTTTTCAGGAACGGGCACAACTACAGCTCATTATAAATATTTTCCAAGTAGAATCGGTGAAATGAAGCATCCAGCAATCACATTGTGCAGTGTTTAGAGTTAGTTTCTCTCATTTAAACAGCAATGCAAACACAAGTGATCATTTTTACAAATTAATGTTACGGCCGAAATGTGAACTTCTCATCACAGCCAGAAGAGGCGTTAAAAGATATAAACAGCCCATTCAAACACGTGCGCAGCACATTTTTGATCGTTTGTGGTTTCTCGTGAAGGTGACCGCAACGATTGCGAATGCTGAACATTTTGTTGGCGAACAACGTCATACTAATTTGGAAAAATTACCTGTAGTACTGTATACTTTATTACAAGTATTTCGAAATCGCAAGAACGATTTCGAAATACTTGTAATAAAATATAAG